GCCACATCTTTGTACACAAAACAAGTTTTGCAGCATGTAGACAAAGCACAGCAAATGAAATTCTAAAGGTCATTACACTCATTGAAATAAAAAGAAATACAGTTTGTTTTTGTTGCATAATCAACTTTTATCCTCATTTTGCCATCCTCATGAGCATTTTGACATATTTCTGATCTTTCAGTATATAAAATAAAAATTAAAAAAACAAAGAATAGAAAACTAAGATAGCATGGGTTTGTGTCTCTCTTCCTCCTTTCATTAAAAGCATACACAGTTGTCCACCATAGTGGCTTCTGCTGTCCACCTTCCTTCAAGCTCCCTCTCACTCAGAGAACAGAGATCATGTGACCACCGATCTTCAGGGCATTCACATTATGGATATTTTCAGACCCATTTTTGCAGAATTCCATCCTGTTGATCATTTGCATCCTTCCTAAAATTTTTCTTTTTCTTTTCTCTGGGACCACAATTTCTCCTTCTTTTCCTAAATTGTCTGGCCACTCCATGGCTCTTTCTTGGGCTTCTTCTATTTCTCCTCCATAAGATATTAGGACTTCTCTAATTACGGATATAGCTTTATTCCAGTATCATCCACATCTGTGAATAAGTACATTTCTATACATTACTGCTTCCCCCAGTGTATATTTATAGTCTTTGTCCACATAGATTGGATAATTTAAGATAAATGCTATAAGAGAAATAGAGTGTTAAGATAGGAAGAAAGAGTGAGAGGATGGACAGCCTCACATCGGGTAGCCAGGGAAGGCCTCCTGAAGAGCGCACATTAGAGCTGAGACTACAGGTAGAGAGGAGTCCCTCAGCCTAGATGCGGAACACAGAGCCTTCCAGGAAGAGAGAAGAGGACTTTCCTAGAGATGTCCATTAACTTGATATGCACCGTGGGCAGGCCAAGGCCCCTGTGTCTGCAGACAATGAAGGGAAGTGAGCATACAGTGGTGGGCTATGAGAGAGAAACCAAAGTTCATAGATTTTGAGGCAGAATTCTCTGTGAATCAAGAGTGTAACTTGAAATCGATGGTATTTTTAAGTCTCTATCAGCTGGATAGTAGTTGTTGCCAGTGTCTTAGAAATACCTTAATGACTTTCATGTATATTTTCACTTTTATAAAAGAGTGATATATGATAAAAATCTTGAAGTATGAAAGATAAATAAAACTAAAAATTCTAAGTAGAAATCTAAATTCTAATTCTTATTAGTACCTAAAATAATGTGTAACCAGGGATAATGAATTATTGCATTGAGTGAAATATATTCATCTGATTTATATATTCAAAAAAAATCTCTCATTTGCAAAGAGTGCATTGCTTTCAAGTCAGGCTGAACTGCATAACAAGATCCTATCTCAAAGAAAAATGTAGGGCTGGAGAGATGGCTCAGTGGTCTAAAGCACCTACTTGAAACAAGCTTGGCAAAGCACAGGGACCGTGGTTCGATCCCCCAGCACCACATGCCAGCCAGCCCCGCCCCCTGGTGAGCTGAGCTGGCCACACACACACACACACACACACACACAATAAATAAAATGTAATAAAAAATAAATAAATAATTAAAAAAAAAGAAAGAAAAATGTACAGGATGCATCTAAGATTTCTAGTTATGGAGCTATCATTCACTGAAATGGTGGATTAAAATACACATGTGCAAGGGTCAGTGAGATAGCTCAGTGGACTAAGTGCCTCCTTATCCAAGCACTAGGACTGGGGTTCAATTCTCTGCTCCACATGCCACACTGGTCCTGCCCCCTGGTATGCAGAGCTGGTGACTGAGTCTGGGTGTGGAGGCGCACATCTGTAATCCCAGTGCTGGAGAGGCTGAAAACAGGAGGATCATTATGAGTCCGAGCTGCATAGTGAGACCTTGTACTAAATACACAAGAAAAAGATACATATGTGCAGAGATTATGGTTTATTGGAGAAGTAGGCAGTTAGGTTTTCTGAATAATTCATTACTTATTATCCTCTCAGGCGAGGATTACTGATTCCTTTTAGGATGAGTAAACTATTCACCTTTTCCTCATCAGCTTCACTCAGAATCTCCCCATTATTTCATTCAACATCAGCACTTATGACTTAGTATTTTTCCCTTCTGTCCTTCCCAGTCTGCTGTAGGTTCATGAAGGTGCAGCACAGAGGAGCTTTGTTCACTATTTTACTACTGGCACCACCATGGTGCTAGGAACATTCTAGATGTTCAGCAAATGCTGGTTCAACAGATAACCATACTAATCCTAATTTCTTCTTTGTATTCCACTTCAAAGTGCTTGGTCATCTATGAACACTCAATTTGCCAGACAGGAAATCACAACTCCAGTGTAGTTAAAAATTTGTGCAGTACAAAATGACAGAATACAAGAATTCACAAAAATATGTCATAATAGATGCCAGGGAGATAGACCAGCACCACCGGCACCTGCCTGGCAAGTGCAAGGTCCTGAGTTTGATGCCTGGTACAAAAAAAAAAAAAAATTAAAGAAAGAAAGGAAAGGAAAGGAAAAGGAAAAGAAAAAGAAAAAGTATGTCATAATAATCCTGTAAAAAAAATAAACATATCCTAGAAATAAGTGGGGTTTTTTCTTAAGAATTATTACAAAATTCTAAAAGTGATAGATGGAGGAAAAACGATGAATTTACATAAAATCAACTAGATTGTTTCATGAAAACCAATATTTCTTTCAACCTTATCAAGGCTTTCTTGGATCAGCACCATGTCCATAAGAGAAGAGTCCATGTTCTTCCTAATGCCCTCATCATTTGCGTGATTAGTGAGTAGGAAATGAGAAGGATTGAAAAGAGAAACTCTCAGATTCCCCAAGATGTCAAATTGTAGAACCTTTAAGAGCAATTTTACTTTTCTACAGAAATTTAATATTATTTATGTTAGAAAAACCCATGTGATAAAATTGTTTAGCTAGTTATATAAACTTATATTTGCATGACACACCAGAGATCGAACCCCGGTCCCTGAGTCTGCCTAAGCAGGCACTTTAATCTGCTGAGCTATTTGGCTGGTCCCATTGTTTATTTTTTATACTTAAATATTCATTAAAGGCAGTAATTATTATTTTTTTTTAAATTCTATGACAACTTATGGACAGTCATCACATAAGTGTTCCCAAGCTTAAAAACTGGGAGGCTTGGATAAAACAACTGCCATTTGTTTCTGAGATGCTATTTATCAAGTTGTTAATTACTAGTTTTATTTATGACACAATATGATGCTTCCTGTATGCTATATTGAATTCAACTTGTATTTCAGTTGCATTATCTTTGTTATTTTTATTATATTTCCTATGTTATTGAAAACATCTCCTGACTCCAGCACCTCTGAAACTCTCACAATAGTTACTTATGAATGCATGACTTCTAAAAAGAAAATAAAATTAAAAGAAAATAGATGCTAGTATTCCTAGTTGAAATGGTGCATGTAAACAATTCAAAAAAGATCTCAATAAAAGACATTTATAATTATTATTTAATGGACATCGTGTTGTCACGCAAAACGAGAAAGATTAATGTCTGTTTTAGATAAAATCTACTCATCACAAGTTAAACCTTTTCTGATCATAATGTTAGTTTTATATTTAATTTGGATTGTTCCAAATTCTAAGGGAATAAATAAACTCTTAGTTAAAATCAGATTTCCTTATATATTTAAAAATTCTCCAACCTTTCAAATGCAATGAAAGCCAGAACACACACCTGCTCGTCCACTGCCTCCTCCCAGTGCCTCAGTCCTCATCCCTGTGCAGCAGCAGCTAGACAAATGACTTGCAAGGAGCAGGCATCCGATCTGGAGCTTGAGCTTTTTACACTCCTACTAGGATATTTTGCTTAGCTTAGCCCCTAAGGCATTCTTTCAAAATTGTCTTGAAATTATGTTACTATAGGCAAATGCACTTGCAAGCTTCATTTTGTACACTAAGTTTCTAGCATTTCCAACCACAGATGGCTGCCGGTAGAGGAGCGAAACATCAATGTGATCAGCTATGACTTTGCCCTTGGTTTGTGGGCCATTGGAAAGCCTTCCTATCAATCTCCCTTTAAACTTGCATTTCTTATCTTAGTTGAACAATTCAAATGGCTCTAACTAAATAAAAATCTGTGGAATATATAGCTTTTCCAATTCATCGCCTTCATGATGACAAACACAGTGTAACATAATAAAAGTATTAGTAAAATATGACCTGTAGAGTATTTTTTCTGCAAGAAGGATACATCTAAGCACATGTCATTAATTTGAATCTTTATAATAAGTCTGCAAAGTTACACTTTTTATCTACAGTCCCTCGATGGTGCTACCATTTTACACATGAAGAAACTGAGACCCAAGCAAATAAGCTGATTTGTACAAAGTCATGCACGTAGATAGACGTGGAGCCAGAATTACAAACCAGGCTCAATTACCTGGAGGTATGGCACACAACACCTCAGTTGGTTTGCTGTGATCCTTAATAACTATATTTCCTGTAGCATCTCATTCCAATTTTCCAATCTGTATACACCCAGATTTTGTTTATTTTTCTTTCATATTTTGGATGTAGTTTTGGCCACAACCAACATTCCTTTGAGCAGAATTTAATAAACCAACAGACACTTTGGTGCCACGTCAGTAGTGACCATGTAGGTGACAGCCCTTATATCAGTGCACAGAAAAGTGACTGACTATTGTGACTAAAGTAAAATTGCAAGAAGAATATATGCAGTGTATTATTTGTTGAAACTGTCCTTCCGATTTGATTTGAAACTGTCTCATTGCTATCTCTTTGTCAATAAAACTTTGAAAAAAAAATAAATAAAGTAAAATTGCTACCTTTTACATATGCGTCTTTTCCCTGTTACTTAAGGTGCCAACTGTAATGCTGAAATAACAATTATGATCTGATTTTATTTTGCATCTAAAATAATTTTCTCGGAGAGAGCCAGTTTAAACTTGATTTAAAATTCATAGTCAGAGAAAGAAAAAAAAAAAAAAAACTTACTTTCCTCTAGTTGTTTCAAAACTGGATTTTTGAGAGCTGGGTCTCTGGTTCCGAGTGCTATCGCCTCTGCTGAGGTACGTTTCTCGTGGGGATCGATTTCCCACGCCACCGGCTGATTTTAGAGCGTTTTCTCGTTGCTCTGACTTTCCGGCAAAGCTTTGAAGAAATTTCAGTGTTGAGTTGGAAAGCAGCACTGTCTCCGCTCCAGCTTGGGAGCTGATGCTAGCTTGGGTTGGAAAGGCGAGCTCTGGTAGCTTTACCTCTCCTTTCTCTGTTTTCCTGGCGCCTGGGGCCAGTTGGATTCTCACACCCTCGGTAGCCAGGCTTGACTCTGAGGGCTGCAACGTTGACTGCAGAGGATGCGCTTCAGGTGTTCTCAGCTCAGGAGTTGGAGCTATCTCAGTCGATGGGTTCCGGGTGCTTGGGAGCATTTGAAGACTTTGTGTGTTATTTACAGGAGCTGAAAGAGAAGTCATATTCTTGTGGGGGTTTTCATCCTCAGCAGTAGTCCCAAGATGCTTAATGTGATCAAGTCCAATGCCCACACTCCATAAACTGGAAAGAAGGACAAATAACTTCGCTTTTTCCATTTCAGTAGTTTGGGAAAAAAAATGTATGTGAAATTGGGAGACAAAGTCCTTCCAGACTATTTGATAGCTGTTTCCACAGTGAAATGTGGCAGGACAGAGCTTCGGCAATTTGGGGTATGTAGAGGAAACAGGTTCTGTGCTTTGTAGCAGACTCAGGAAGTGTGATTTCCTGTTTCTGTAGGATGCTCTTCGTGGTCTGTGACTTCTGCTGGGATGGATCTTTGGCTGTGGTGAAGGACCTCTGGGAAAACACAGGCATTTGCTATTAGGAAAACCCAAGGGAAAAGCACAAAGGGACATTGCTTTCTTATGTGACCTCATGTTTTGTTGAAAAAATTTCACACTGGCAGTGGGGAGTCTGGCATTTTGTTAGGCTGAATAGGAGTTAACAATTTGTTTATATACAACAAAATTGAGAATAAAATATAGTGCTTTTTTTATACTGTTCCATACCCAAAGCTACACTTTGTACAAATGCATATCTGTATGTACACACATAAACACACCTTGTTAGTGATGTCTGGCCTTCCTATATTATGGGGAGGAATTTCATATGTATAAAACACTTGTCTTGGTTATTTTTTCTCATGTCTCTCCCAGAGTTAATGTGCTCTTGGCTGTGGTGAAAGACCTCTTACGAAACTAAGAGCAGATGGTCAAAAGGGAGAAAGGTTTATTTGGTTTACAATTTGTGGAAATTTCAGTCCATAATCAGCTGGCTCAAAAGCAGGGTGCATGGCAGACAGGCACTGCTGGGAAGTAGTTCATAGAGGGAAGGAGGTAGCAAAACAACAAAATAGGGGCAAGACAAGCCCCCTTCTGTCCATTGTATTGTACCCAGGCTACAGGATTAGGGCGGTGTCAAGCCAACCATAGGGCTGGTTTAGTATCCATCCACCCTTAATCCCAGAAGCCTCAGTCCTACCATTATAGCTATCTCTCATTTGAAGTTAATCTTATTGATTGTAAGAAATACCAGGGAAAACATAAATTACTGAATTATAAAGGTATAACAAGAAAATCACTTTAAATTTTATTCTTAGAATTTTAGTATTGATACCAACTAATGCAATAAATAATGAGAATTTTGCTTTCTGTATTTTTCAGATTGATCTTCTAATGGCTGGGTGTTATGAATATACTTTTTAATTACTGAAAACAGATGAAGAAAGATGAGTCCCAGGATAAAATTAGAATAAGATCATATTCAATGCTTTTTAGGCTTCTACTATATTCCAAAAAGCATTTGAGAGTATACAACACAGAACAGAAATGATGAAGGAGTCTTCCAGGTTTACTTTTCTAGAGAACATACTTCATGGAAATTTTTTTTTTCATGTATTTAGTACAGCATCTCACTACACAGGTAGTACTCATAGTGATCCTCCCGTTTTCAGACTCCCAAGTGATGGGATTACAGGCGTGTGCCACCATGCCCAGTCTCAGTCACCATCCCAGTGTGCCCTGGGGCAGGGCCAACTCAGCACTCAACGCTGGTCACTGTGCCTGCCTAAGCAGGTGCTTTAATCTGCTGAGCTATCTGGCCAGCCCTGGAATTTGTGATTTTATTTCTTCAGTAAATCTTGATTCTTAGGCTTCAATTAAACTTATGTGCAAGAATTTGAACAGATATGTAGTCATTCATTCATTCATTCATTCATTCATTCATTCATTCATTCATTCCCAAAACTGAATCTGTGCAAGGTATTCTTTTTTAAGTACCAAGATTGTGAAAGAAATAAAGAATATCCTGCTCTGTCAATTTGCTTAAGGCTCATAACATGATTTTTGAAAGCACAATCTACGTGTAATTAATCTTTCTTTCATCTTCTTTGTCAGACATGAGGCTCTTGCTAAATAGTCATCATAGAACGTTTTCTCTCAGAAGTGGAAAATTGGAAAGTAGTCCCTGTTTTGCTATATATTATTGTAGAACTGTTCTCTTGCTCTTCTGGATGCACAATACGAGGATTTGATACAAGATCTCATTTCCCTGACTTATGAGTTGGCCTTACCCTTTTCCTCTCCAACCCTTGTCACTCACTGCTGTGAGTACATTGCTCACTTTACCAGGGCATATGCAATGTGACATTATTTAAACTCAGCAGCCCCTTCTGACTATGCTGTACAGGACAAGAACATTCTTCAAACTTTGTATTAGTAAAAGAGCAAAAAGTTTCAGTACAGACCACCCAGCAGCAAATAGTTACTAAGAAGAGCAATGAAACATCATGCTTTTCACAATAAAATTAGTATTAAGAACAAGGCATTTGGGGCCAGGGATACAGCTCAGCAGCATGACATCTGCTTGGCAAGTGTGGTCCTAAGTTCAGTTCCCAGTTCAATAAAATTAATTAATTAATTAATTAATTAAAATCAACAACAACAAAAAACAAGGCATTTTAATTTTCTTAGCCTGAAAAAGTGAAGTGGCTACTTTGGGCTTGTAGCAGAAGAGTAATCCCAAAAGATTCAAGTAACTCTTTGTATTTGATATACAATTTTGAATCCATTTCCTTAGAGTTGGTAGAAGCAAATGCATAGATGGTCCAGAACATTTATTAACAAACTGATGGCACTTCTAGTTATTTTTTTTTTTTAATTTTGTTTTGCTTCCATAATTGATTTTTTTTTTTTTTCGGTCGTACCAGGGATCGAACTCAGAACCTTGTGCTTGCCAGGGAAGCACTTATTCCACTGAGCTATCTCCCTAGCCTTGGCTTCTGTAGTTGAAATGACCACCTTAATCCTGCTCAAAATAAGTGCATTTTAGTGATAATAGGGAACCCAATGGATCTATAACAGATATTAAATAGCCAAATGGTAATAAAATTCAATGGAATAAAAGCAATTCATTTCACCTCCTGTAAGGTATTGACCAGTGATGCCTTTTATTCACCCCTGAGCAAGTGTACAATTGACCCTGTGATCAAAAGGCTAAAGGTTCTGAATCTCATTATTGATCCACTAAGCAATCATGTGCTCTGGCTCCCTAGAGAATCCCTGGCTCATTTAATGGGTTTAGGCCCATGGATCAGCCCTTAATTGGACACGTAAAGCATTTGTAGGGCAGAAACTATCAGAGGTCTCATTTCAAATTCTGCTTACTGAGACACATCGATAGTTGCCAAAGAGCAATTAAAGACACTATTTCTAGGAGGTCTGTCTAAAGAAAAATCAGTTCATTCAGTTCTCTACTGTAAATACTATGGTTAACCTTACCATTGATATGTTTTTGTGTGAAGGGTTTTTGTTTGTTCAATACATGTAAAAGAGTGCATATACAAAGATTGAGACATGAGAAAACATTGGTTCAACGCTAATGAAACCTACAAGAATTAGGATTCAGGGAAAGTGACAAATTACTGAAACATTTTTTAAAAACTTGAGACTACAATAAAAACAAGCTGATAAAGTCCCTATTAACACCATGTCATGGTTTGTCTCTAGGTGTCTGCCCTCCCCCCAAGCCTCATGCAGTCATGGGGCAGACTTCTAGAGTTTGTGATTAACTCATGATCCACTGGGATTTTGGGTGATCCAAGGCTGGGATTATGGGTCTGAGTACTGCTGGGATTATGGGTGTGAGTGCTACAGCCCAACAAAGATAGTCTGAATGCAACATAAGAGAGACAGAGAGATAGACTTCCTTTCTATTGTCATTGTTGCTGCTACTCCTCCCTCTCTGCTCTTTGCTGCCACCATTAAAGATTGCTTTCTGCCATGTGCCACTCTGCCTTGGAGCCAGCTGAGCATGGATTGAAACCTCCATTGATTGTGAGCTTTTCCTTTCTTCATTTTAAGTGTCGGGTGTTTGTCCCAGCAACAAGAGGAGAGTAACTAAGACCCACTAGGAGTCTTCATAAGACTCCTTGCATGATTTTATTAAACTAGAGAGCCTCAACCTGTTGCTATAGGCTTCCTCATATAGGAAACAGAATTAATGGGATTCCCCTAGCTGGTCCCCATGTTGGTAAGTATTCTCCCTACCCCTGCCCACCCACAGCTTCTTAATGAAGCAGACCTGCGTCCTCACAACCTTAAAGAGGATGCCAATTATCTCGTAGGCATCTGTCTTGTAGCGCCACCCCTCATATATCCTGTGTCAGGTCTTCTGTTGGACTCTAGGAATACCAAACACAACTGAATTGCAAATCTATGCTAAGCATACAAGACAATGACTGGCTGGGGAATTTTTCTTTTTTTTTAATTGCAAAGTCAATGCATTTGGTGTATTGCAAAAGGTGCTATGCTTTTCTTCATTATCAGTGAAAGAAGTTAAAATTAAATTCCACAAAAAATTTTAAAAACTTAGCAAGTGGCAAACAAATCTCCTTGAAAGTCACAGTCACATATAGAGTGCATCCTAGAAAGAGTGGGGGGTCAAGATAGCTTCTGCCCACTTCCATGAGTTTCATTGAGTACTAGATCTACTCAAGGATGTAGAGAGATAAAAGGCAACTTTCATAAAGGAGTATGTTTTTTAAAAAATTTTTTTTAGGAATATGTTAATAAATGAGGCATTTACTATACTCCTGCCTAAAAGCACCAGGTGGAGAACACATATTTTTAAACTAGAAAGGAAGTGGAATGTGGAATCAATCCATCCTCCTCCCCTAAGGGCTGACCACTGGTTAATGAATTTTTAAAAAACAAGACTAAAACAAACCCCCTCCAAACACCCTACCCAGAAAAAAAAAAAAAAAAAAAAGAAAAAAAGAAAAGAAAAAGGAAAATCCTAAGACGTCCCAGATTACTCTCAAGTGGAACCAGGGAGCATCTTCTACAGCTCAGATCAGCCTGCTGCAGAGCCCTCACAAGCATGCCCTACTTTTAATCAACAACAAAGAAAAGATTCTTGATACAACAAATCAATCATTTTTCTGACAATCACAATTACTCAATATCAACTAGTACTGGGAAGGCTGGGGGCGCACCCATCAGCCCTGTCTCACACTAGTATGTGTGGGTCGGTGCAGGGCCTTTGTCATTATTGTAGAAACACATTTTAATTTTTAATCTTATTTGATTTAAACATTACTTTTAGTGTGATGCCGGCACCAGGACAGCCAATAGTGCTTCATTAGACACATCTTTAGGCCTTTCTGTGTGAGCACAGAGCACTCTGCATGCTCGACAGCCTTCAGACCACAGGCAGCTTTTCATCATCCTCTAGAGTGACAGGTTTCTGTTTGTTCTTGGCAAGTTTCTCAATAGGAGAGGATCATTTCTGAGATCAAT